CAACTGTGACATTTCGCAAACAAATCAATTAATTGGCATTATTTTCAAATCATATTGCCCTTTCAAATCTGGTCCCACCGGTGCACCAATGGTTTCCTCAAATTGTTTGTATGTATGTATATATGGACATACCTAGCATTTTGTTTGGATTTTTCACACACAAAAACACAGCAGCAGCACTTCCTTCGCTTGCTGATCATCAGCGCTTCCCCATTGTAGATTTCCTTTCCTTGGTTTCACAATATGACTTTGTTTATGGTAACTCGCGCTAATGTTATTGTTGCAAAAAGAGTCCGAACGGAAGACCTCTATACGTGCATACATCTACCTGCACAACACACTTCCCTTCCGGTAATTGACTTCTCATCAATGCACAAATTGAAACAAATATGGTTTGTATGTAGACATCTACATATATCGACTGAGGCAATATTATTTAAGTATATACACCCAGTTACTTACACACATACATAAATGTTTACAAGCCGAAATCCAAACATGCTTGCACACGGATCTGCATCAAAAATTGCAGGATAAATTATATCTTCATTTCGATGGGATGCTTGCTATAGCTTGTGAGGAGACTCCTGTTGAGTAAATCAACGGGGATTCCCTAGGGTTTCCATCAATGCAATGTAGGGCTTGGGTTAAACTGACCGAAAGACAATTTTTTTTAATTATACATATATGCATGTTTTTACTCCAGATTCAGACTCTGAGAATTAAAATACGAACTTTTGTTTGAAACTTTATTTCCTGCAAGTGCCACTTTCAACCTTTAATGGACCTTCAAACTTCAATTATATAGTCAGGCACTTCTGAAAAGAGTGAAAATATATTTATTAGAAAACAAAAAATATGAACTACCCTGTCGGGGCTACCTTATCTTCTGGTCATATTACCGACTAAGGTTTAGACAGGAAGTGTCTTAAACAGACCGGAAGTCCAGTTTTTTTAACTGTAAGTCCTTTCCAGAAAAAAGTTTTCTACAAAAATTATTTATTTTTATGCGCAGTCCAAACCTTTGGTAAAACCATGTGCATTTATTCCAAAGGTGTTAAAAACTGTAATCATTTTTAACTAAATTATTCATTTGATAGAGGTCCCAAGTGTTTGCAATAATTGTTTGTTAGTCCTGACAAAGACTAAAAAAAATTGTCTTTATTCTTTTTTTTTTCGATTTATGATTCATAAATCACTTTTTTATTAATTTCTTGTTAGTCATTTGATTTCAGCCATTGGATTGCATTCTTTTAGTCACTTTTTGTTAGTCATTTGATTTCAACCATTGTAATGCACTACTTTGAATTTTTTCCAGGGATCGAGAACGCGTTCCGGTTTTGGTTTATTTCTGCATGAAAACAAAAGGTAATGTCAAAAAATGTGACCAAAACTCTAAAAAAGAAACCTAATGTTAAGTATGAGAGGGACGTCCGCGTGTTGAGATGAGAAATCGTTTCAGTGAAAACCCTGACTTTTAATTCTAAGCCAGAAAAAATCTTGATCATTGCAACTTCAAGATCGTTTATTGTTAGGGTGAACTGTTTATTTCTGCAACAATTCTCCACTTTCAGTGCAAAAAAAAAAAAAGTGTTTGTTTGATTTTATACTGATCTACATACCAACTGTAGCAGTATGATATATAGCGTAGTATTTTAAGTGAAAAGCCTTCTATGTAAATACTAGCAAGAAGGCGAGATTTGCACTTTGTTATTTTTTCATTTACATAATATGTACCTATAGTAAATACAAATTTATTTCCTAGAAAGTTACTGGAATTCATTGACATTTTCTAAATGTTTTATATACTACTGGAGTTTTAATTAAGCTTTTTGTGTTTTTTCTAAAACAAATTAGTGTTATAATTCTATGAAGAAGTGTACGCAAAGATTGCTTTAGAATTTCATTATTCACCTCAGACTGCAAAAATTACTCAATTAGTCATGAATAACGGAAAAGAAAGTCAAACATGTGATTGCTTGGCTGCAGTTAAAAAGTGTTAGTCAGTGAATATGACTGCCACGATTTAAAGTCCCGAAGACGGCATTCTTTAACACCTCTGATATATTCAAATTAAGGAAATGGACCCTCAATCGAAACCGGTCGGTGACACCACTGAAAGCTGGAGCACCACAGGAAGGCCCTAATTTTGCGTTTCAATAAAAATATTTCCCTCCATTTTAGAGGGGGTGAACGGGTTGTCTTGGACACCCTGTTATATGTACATATATTTTATTACTAGGGGGAAGCATCAAAAGCCTATCCCCAGAACCGTTAATATGAGACTTTAAGCCAAACTAAACCTCCAAACCACCGTTAGGTGTTTCGTCGGGAGGTGGTTTAATCACGAAACTCTACCTTCCTTGCAGTCCTGTTGCATTCCGTTAGAAATTTCATAAATTTGGAGCCGTGCTTTGTCTTAGGAAATAACTCTCCATCCTTGTTGGATCCCTTCGTCCCCCTGCCTCTTTCGTAGCCTCTCTTACCTTTAAGCTGCAACCTAACAAGATACAGAGCAATCGTAAACCTCCCCAAAGATAGGTTAGGGATAATAGCAGGTATTCTGATGAGAAAGAGGTCACCTACATAAGCTAGGGAACTTGACATAGAGACTCCATTTCACCTGCTTTGCGAGTGCAAGATGGTTGAAATAAGACGGTAGAGATACAGAGGTAAACTCTGTCAAAGTGTTAAATTCATTCGCTAGCATGTTCGACGTCTTCAACAATGCCATCTCCACACATTTCGCAGTGATCACGCTCTTCGTCTTGAAAGCCTTTCAGATACGATCAGAAGTAGCCGTGGGGACGTGATATCAATTTTTTCAACGCTTGGGATCAGCCATTGTATCCATCCCATTTCTTTGGCCACATGTCTAGCATGTGTTACGGGCGCCTTCGAATACAGTACTATATACGAAGCCAACTCTTAGCGCCTATAGCCGGTAGATTAACTTGAGGCCGCGAATATGCGACTGTACACGCACTGCGTAGCTCCACACTTGTGCACCGTAGAGTATCACTGCATTTAGAACCCCGGATAGCAATCTTCTGAGGGTTTGTTTTGGACCTCGGGAGTTTAGCCTCATTTTCGTGACGATGCCGCACACATTACTCGCCCATTTTGCTACCTTTTACAGTGCTATATTGGAGCATTCGGTCTTTGAAGTATGTAATTAGCAATTATTCTGGGGAGATTTCAGTAAGTGAAAATTGTTCTCATGCCTTCATGATTTTCTACCGATTTGCAGTTTTGAAAGCGTTTTCGATGTCAAGGGTGACTATTAAGGAATACTTTATGGTTCCTTGTTTCCAGTGCTGGCCTGCGATAGGTCACTGACTACTATTATCGCATGAATAGTGGATTTCGATAGCTACCGCATCTCGCACATGGGTTCTCACGTTGCCCTTAGTGTACATCCATTCAACCAAAAAGAAGCCAGAACAGCAATAATACGGCTTAAAAACAATAAATCCCCCGTAGCCGGCGATATACCACCGGTAGAACTGTTCATAGCTGGCGGAGTTGAGATCGTTGAGTACGTATACCAGTTGTTAAGGACTATTTGGTCAAATTAATGCATGCCCGAAGATTGAACTTCACTCGAATTTTTTAGTAGAAGTGACTTGACGAAATTGAAAATTTTGGATCCTACCCACCATTGTTGAAATTTTCACAATTCAAAGTCTATTACAACATAGAGAAGTGGTCTTTGCCACATGGTAGTCAATGTGCGCCAGGGCAGCCGTACATCCTCTAAGCAAGCGCGCCGCCACTATTTTCTTTACTAGTTTCAAGTGGCATGAAATTAGGGAGATCAGGCGGAAGGAAAATATTAATTAATGCCTAATTGGAAAATATTATTGTATAACGTTAGAAATCTCGCTGTTACAGATATTCTCAGGCGTTTAATCATGGTGTATGAAATGCGATATAATCCTCTAGTTTTAACTTTAGTTTTTTTTTTTTAAGTAAAAAGCATTTGCTCCATTGCGATGTTACTTGATTTGGCGTTATGGGTGAATTCTTCGATTATTTGAATTGATCGGAAAAGTTAGAGTCGTTGGACCATTCGGACCAGTTGAGAGCAAAAAGGTGAGGTTTGACTTAGGTTCAGTTATTGTAGCTTGAGCTTTTGTTATGGCGTAGATTGATTGAATGGAAAGATTGGCAACTACGCGAGTAGCCTTTGCTACATTATTTGCCTCTTTGTTCATGTTTGCTCCTCTTCGGCACTTGTGCGAAATTTATTCAAATCGGCGAAATCGAGTAGGAATCTTTTTCCTTTGTAGTATTTAGCATTATTCTGGGTTTTGCTAACTTCTGTGACTATGGGAAAATAGTCAATGTGGTAAAGGCTATCTAATATGGTCCAGGTTATCATCGGAAGCAAACTTAGGGAACCGCGTTCTGTGGGTTGAGAGATGAGTAGGTCTGACATCATTTAGTACAGAGGTTTAAATTATTAATTACGTATTCTACCACTTTACCGCGATTGTTGCGATTTTTGTAGCCCATCTACCCGAAAATACATACCGCTTCTTCTAAAACTCTATTTACACTAAATTTAATTCATTTTGAAAAATTTATTGCTATAAAAATATTTGAGTTCGAAAAAACCGTACATGTATTAAGTAGGAATACAGGATACATATACAAGTACTTCTTAAAAATAGTTTTTTTGTAAGTAGAGATATCGAGGAAACGCGAGATAAAAACAAATGCAATTTCAAGTAGAAGGCAGTCCATTGTTTTATAATATTCTTTAGATATTTCCACAAAATTGGAAGTGCTTTTTTAAATAAAACCTACCTGTAACATATGTACAAATATATTTGTATACATGTATAAATATGTATGCATAACTTTTATCCTTTGTTAGGAAATTTTGCTTTTTTTTTTGTAATTTAAAGTTACTTCCAAATTCAAAATTTTGCTTTATGGTATAAAATATTACGCATTCTAATCCATTATATAGCCAACCAATTAGCATCAGCTAGTTTTTTTTTTACACAATTTCTTCTCTTAGTATTTGGCGCATTCTTTTAGTAGAGCATTATGGCGCTTTGATTCTTCTCCTCGCTAGGTGGCTCGAGTCTTTGGCGATCGCGTTGTTCACTACGTTTGGCATGCAACAGTATGAAAACATTTAGTATAACAACAAATGTAGACGCAATGACCAAATAAAAACTATAACCCAAAAAAGCTAAACCCTGACTATACCAATTACTATCCTGTGCTGCAAGCACATTCTGCTGTAAGTATTTATAGAATTGAACAAGCCAGCAAATAAAAGCGATCACTTGTGCTCCTGCGGCTGAAATGTTTGAAGCGAAAAGTAGTACCATAGTTCCAGGGCGTTTTGCCGCAGAAGCGGCTTTTAAAACGGCTACAATGGCTGAAATCGCAGAGCCCAGTAAACCAAAGCCGGTACCCAAAGCTGTGATTAACCAAAGCCAGAAGTTCATTGTTTCTGGTCCGTTTTGATCGAAGGTGTAAACTATAATTAAAGAAATAATTATAAAGAAATATAGTGCATATGTGTGTTTGTACATATGTATGTACAAGTTTATGCGTACATATGTGTGTATTTATTTTTTGGGGTATATATAAATCGCAACTTTCCTTTTTTGACAATCAAAGTACTTACCAATTATAGGTGTAGAGCGCACACCGAATCCATAGTTGAGGTCCTTGTTGCCATAAAATAAACCAAAATTTATATCGCCTTTTGAATCCTTTAAAACAAACAGCAAATAAAAACAATTCATTGAGACATTGTGTTTAAAATCCGAACGTCATTTACTTACTGTAGAATTTAAGCGCTTCGGGTAGGCGCGCACCCAATGGTTTGTGGTCAAACTGACCAGAAGAAGTCCGATTGCGATGCAGCTCCCGAAGAATGTTGAAAAGACTAGTGCCCTTGTGCGTATGCTCATGGCGTTGGTTGATTGGCAAGATGTGGCGAGATTACTTAAACCAAATCAATTTGGACGTCTGCAGGAAGGATACTCCGTTGCCAATGACTTTTCTCCGGACGGCATCAGTGGCTAAGATGCTTGCCCACACTTTCTCCCCCAGAATCCAAAGAATTGAGTTGTTGTTATGCGCTTTTGTTTGGTCGTTATTTTGGCATGGCATAAAATACACAATAAATTAAATTAAAAGTGCCTAATTTGATATGGACTGATTTTTTTATTGCTGCTGTTAAACCTTTGCTAGTGCTTTCTTCCTGTATATNGCAATGACTTATCTCCGGACGGCATCAGTGGCTTAGATGCTTGCCCACACTTTCTCCCCCAGAATCCAAAGAATTGAGTTATTGTTATGCGCTTTTGTTTGGTCGTTATTTTGGCATGGCATAAAATATACAATAAATTAAATTAAAAGTGCCTAATTTGATATGGACTGATTTTTTTTATTGCTGCTGTTAAACCTTTGCTAGTGCTTTCTTCCTGTATATGCATCTACATATGCATTTTTTGCGCAATGATAAATGATAAATAATGAGCAAACAGAAAACTTTGGTCACGAACTTGATTTTTCTAACATTTTAGTTTCAGGTAGTTTCAGGTTATATTTGTACAAATGTACGCATATTTTTCCGCATGCCTAAAACAATCACACACGTATGTACGTATGTACATACATATGTATATAGTACATATGTAAAAGATTTTATGCGAAAATAACTGTAGAAAAACTACGCAATCGCATTTTNTTATATTTGTACATATGTACGTATATTTTTCCGCATGCCTAAAACAATCACACACGTATGTACGTATGTACATACATATGTATATAGTACATATGAAAAAGATTTTATGCGAAAATAACTGTAGAAAAACTACGCAATCGCATTTTTGTGCCTGAACTTGTATTTGTTTCGTCACAAACAACAAACAAAGGCATTAAATAAAACGGTTTTGGATAAAACCGCATAAAATATGTGCGCATATCTGTAAATAAAATGAATCACTACTTACCTCTACTACGACGAGTTTCTGAATTCACATCGCTTTCCCTACATAAACCACAAATTTTTGTTCAATCTTGCAGATTTACAGCTCAACAAAAATAAATTTTGGTTTCGCACAATGCACCTTAATTACATTATTTTTTATAGTGTTGATCACCTATTAATAATAATATTTATTTTGTTTACGCACTGAATTTACTTCCGATCTGCAAGCACTTTCTTTGTTATCTCTGCTCTTTTTCAATTTATTTTATCCTATCTTTCTTTGTCTTACTTTCCAGTTTTTTTTTATATTGGGCGATGTTTCATAACTCTTATTCCATATATGTATGTATGTATTGTGTGTATATGTATATGTGTGTATTGACAAGTTTTAGATTTTTTTTTTGATTCTAATTTTTTGATTGGTTTTATAAAATTATGTTGAATTTTTAATGGAAACCGTATAAATGCATAGTTCAATTTTTTTTATTGCTCAACTTGTTGCGGTATTAAAAAGAAGCAACACGTTAAGATTTCAAGCTTTTTAATGCGATTTCTTAGAAAAATTTTAGGTATCACGTTTTATAGACAATTTTAGTATAACAAAGTGCAAATTCAAAGTAGCTACATAGAACGTACCGTTGATTTTTGGCAATTTTTTGCATATCTTCCATTCAAAATATGTTCGAACATTTTTTTTATGTGAAAGAAAACGGGCAAAACGTGCAGAGAATATATTTTAAAATTGAAAGGCTACAAAACTGCTTAATAAGTTAAATGGAATTGCCAAAGGTAAAGGTCAAATGTGTGTTGTCTAGAAATATTCCCATCAATAAAAGTTGCGTCGCAAGAAGTTGCAAGAATTTACTCTGTTCTCTGGTTTCTTTGGCTTTTTACAGTTTTACAGGTTTTATCACAGAAAAGTTGGGAAACGCTTGACAGATTTTACATGGACGAAAACACAAGTTTTACGTCGAAAACCAGTTAATGCAACGAAAACATGTTTCCAATGTCGGTTCGGTATTATCTTTCATCGAAAAAAGCAACCCTGCCATCATAATTATGACGTTAGTTTTCGAGCGCATTTCGATTACCTGTCGTTTTGCAAACGCATTTTAACTGTCAAAATATTGACGTAATAAATTTGTGGTCCATTTTCATTTTCCCCAGTCGAGTTCATTAATTTTTTCTATTTGTTGCAATTTTGCAAAAATTCCAAAAAAAATAGAAAAACAAATAAATATCATGAAATAGTAAAATTCTAAGTTAATAAATAGCCAGCACCACGTCGATTTTTATTGCGAGTGCGAGTGCGTGTGTTGCTGTAATAATTCGTTCTAGTAAAGGGGCGGGAGGTGATTATTTTTTAATGCTTTTCATGTAACTTTTCCTCAATATTGGTATTGCAGTGAAAGTTTATTGTGCACTTGCTGGTCATAACTGTTCCGTGTTTCTTTGTTTGCCTGCGACTAAAAAGCGCTATTAGAAATTGTCAAAGCGTGTGATAATCGAATGCAATTTGCAAAGCACCTTATTGATTGTTATTTTGTTATTCGTAGTATTTCCGACTATATGCATACATATTTGATTTATCTTTAAATATTCGTAGGCACACACAATTTTGAGGTACGGAGAGTCAAGGACATTATTTCGACATTGCCTGTGTTTAATTAATCCCATTTGCAATTGTTTTTGTATCCTTTCCGCTTGATGCTGTTTGCATTCCCGCTGGTATGTATTTGTGCCCTTGGCCGAAAAAACGCGTCTACGTCCGCAGTGTCCTACAGTCTAAAGCTATCCCTCATCAGTTTCAAATATAAAAATAACACATAAAAACAAAGGTTGTAAGTGCGGCGTAGCCTTCAGTAGTAGCAGGAATAATCCTAATAAGACGGGTATTGGATTTCCAAGGATATAATAAAAGTAGAGATTTCGAAATTTTGTTCTGTTAACTGTCGACCATACAGGTAGCCAAATCGCTCAAGCTTATCTTTAGCGCTCACAGTACTGCTTTGCCAGCCCAAGAAATGTGCGATTCCGATGCGAGCAAAGTACAAAAGTGGATATGCGACTATTGCACCTATGAAAATTTTCCTTCCTCACTTAAATGCACCATGTGCAAGGGTGCGAAACCACTGCTGAATGAGGATATATTTCGGTAATTTATATTTCTAATATACTAATACACGAGCTAATATAACGTTTTTACTTTCAGGTTGAGTCCACCACAAACTGCTTTCGATGGCGAGGAGGAGCGCGGTGCAACTGCCGATGTGGTCGAGGCGTCCAGCCTCAATGCATGCTATGCTCAATCGCGGCAAGATGTTTCCTCCACATTACCCGCTACAGCCTCCCCATCTACTTTGGCTAAATGGTCCTGCAAAATGTGCACCTATTTAAATTGGCCAAGAAGTTTACGCTGCGTACAATGTTGTTCTAAACGTGGTACTACTACTGTCGACCTCAACGTAGATCAACAGGTTTGCAATAGTGGAGAAGCCGCAGCAGTGGCTTTAGCATCAACTGGGAATATAGATACAATTGATTGTCCGCAAGGATACATGGATAAAAGATCAAAGTCTGCAGAGTGTAGAGAAACAAAGGCTACTGCTAATATTACCAACACTAATACAGTTTCTTCTAACAATCTCAAAGATCAGTTAAATGCTTTACGTATCACTAACGATATGGAATTGAATGCTAGTAATATTGCGGAATCACAAAAGAATGAGGCAGGCAGTCATACTGCAGAAATTCACAAAAAAACGAGTAACAGCTATATTCAATCGGTAGGTGCTGCTTCAAATAGATTGAGCACTTTTGAACAGTCGTCCACTACTAATATGATAACCGCCGCGCCTACTACAACTGTAAACACAACTCACTTAAATAATCTTGCGAATTCGTCGCAGCAGCAGCAACAATCGCAGCACAATCAGTCGTCCACATCTCTGCAGAACTGTTATGTAGCGAAATGGGCCTGTAATGTAAGTTAATTCTTGTTTGTGGACAATAATTGCTCGTAATATAACCAATTTAATGTTTTTATGCAGACATGTACTTATGAAAATTGGCCAAAAAGTCTTAAATGTTCTATGTGTGGGGAGCCGCGTGATGGAAATACTACCAATATACCTTCTTTGGGAGACAGCAACGCCATCACTGCAACATCCGGTTCGGGTAGCAATAAATTCCTCAATGTAAAGGATGTAAAGGATGGAAATCATGATATGACGGTGTCAACGAATAATTCATTCAACAAGAAACATATTTACCAACTTGGTTAGTATTGAATAGACTTGTTTAATAATGAAAATGTACTAGCAATGCATGCTTTTGGATATGGGCGAATTGTAGGTTCTTCTGAGACTATAAACAACTGTGATACGGTACAAGAGCGTCAAGAACGGCGCCAGCGTCAAATTAGAAGACAAGTTGACTGGCAATGGCTGAATGCCTGTCTTGGTAAGACTGCCTTTAAATAAAAGTAATCAAGTTAAGTAATCTATTTCAAATAATTTAAAGGCGTTGTGGAGAATAACTACAGCGCAGTGGAAGCATACTTGTCCTGTGGCGGTAATCCGGCACGTTCTTTAACCGCGACGGAAATCGCTATCTTAAATCGCAATTCAGCGTTCGATGTAGGTCATACGCTTATTCATTTGGCGATACGCTTTCATCGAGAAGAGATGTTGCCCATGTTACTTGCACAGATCTCAGGATCTGGGCCTGGTATTAAGCGTGTACCTTCCTATGTCGCTCCAGACTTAGCCGCTGATATACGAAGACATTTCGCTAATACACTACGCATGCGTAAAACCTCCTTCAATTGTTTCTACGTGCAAGAGCATGCTACATTTGCTTTACCAGCTGAGATAGAAGAGCTACCAATTCAAATCCAAGAACAGCTGTACGACGAATTATTAGATCGCGATGCACAAAAACAGCTTGAGAACCCTCCTCCCGCACTTAATTGGTCATTGGAGATCACAGCCCGTTTGGGCTCACGCTTGTTGGTATTATGGAATCGCAGTGCCGGCGACTGCCTCTTAGACTCGGCAATGCAAGCAACTTGGGGTGTATTTGACCGCGACAACACCCTTCGACGCGCCTTGGCAGATACTTTGCATCAGTGTGGCCCAATGTAAGTAACTCAAATTCAAGTTGTAAGTGATAATAACACAATACTGATTCTCTCAGTTTCTATCCGCGTTGGAAGGAGTACGAAAAGTGGCAGGCATCAATGTTGCAATTTACCTTGGAAGATGCCCAGTGGCAAGATGACTGGAGTAATCTGCTATCGTTAGCCAGCCAGCCGGGCTCATCATTAGAGCAGTTGCATATATTTGCGTTGGCCCATATACTGCGTCGACCAATCATCGTTTACGGTGTGAAATATGTTAAAAGTTTCCGTGGCGAGGATATTGGCTATGCGAGGTTCGAAGGTAACTCATTTTACTTAGATTTATACATTCAAAATGAATTAAATTCATATAAAAAAAATTTCCACAAATAAAACAATTGCTTAGGTTTGTACTTGCCTTTATTTTGGGATCAAAATTTCTGCATAAAATCGCCTATTGCTCTGGGATATACCCGCGGACATTTCAGTGCATTAGTACCGATGGAGCCATTTGCTCGCATTGATCCACGCAGAGATGAACCAGAAGATGTTCGTTATTTACCTTTGATGGATTGTGAATCAAAACTATTGCCAATACACTTCTTAACACAGGCAGAGGTAGTATAGCGTAAATAAATGGTATAGGCGGTTGTTTCAATGCTTTCGAATTTTCCAGATGGGTCGCGAAGAGGCTATTATGAGACAGTGGCTAGATGTGTGCGTTACAGATGGAGGTTTACTTGTGGCGCAGCAGAAATTGCGAAAACGACCGCTGTTGGTTGCACAAATGCTGGAAGAATGGTTAAATCACTATCGAAGAATCGCGTAAGCATGGAATCTTTCAATGCAAAGTTTCAAAATTTAACTATTCATCATTGTACATACTCATGTACATATTTTGTAGTCAAGTTATAACAGCACCATTTGTACGGCGACCGCAACAAACCGGCTATTCAAGTGAGGGTGATTCCGATGAAGAATAGGCACGGGCACAATCAAGTTGCAATTCTACTTGGAGACAACATTCACATCGGTAGCATTAAGCCGCATGATGGACAAAATTGCGGTGGTAGCATAAACTTAAATCGGAAAATATAAATTTAATGCATATATAACAATTATTACAATTGAAAAAGTAAGAGTGTGGATACCTAG